TGCCGCGGAGCGGCTAGGCCTGTGAGCCATGGCCGCTGAGCCTGCGCGTCAGGAGCCTGTGCTCCCCAATGGGAGAGGCCACCCCAGTGAGGGGGGGGCGTACCGAAAAAAAAAAAAAAAAAAAAAAAAGGAAAAATAAATAAATGAAAGAAAATAATAAATTTTATTGTCATAGTAACTTTCAAGGAGGCTAGTGTGATAAGTTGGGTTAGTAATGGTAAATTTTTATTTCTAAAATGTCTTAATAATTTTAATCCATATATGTACACACTTATAAGAACTCATAGCCAATAAAATGGGTAATCAAATGTATTTAACAAATATATTTGTATATAAAAATTGGGCATATTTATGTCCAACAATTTTCAAGTTTTTTGCCTCAATAATTTTGATAAGTATAGGGCTAAGTTTTTCCTACTTCTCTGCTAGTGGTCATGAAATGTAAACAATAAAACAAAATTTGGAAGACATTATCTTGAGACTAGACAACAGTTTCTTCATCTGCAAAGTGGAGAAAAATATAGTACCTACATTATAGGATGTGAAAATGACATAATATAGAGTGCTTAGTACTAAAAAGTTTCAATAAATGTTTTATAATTACTATTATTATTATTATTTTTACTCCCTCTTCAGGAATGTTACCAGCTGCCACATAAAGCCAAAAATATTTCTTATAATTTTTAAAAGAAAATTTTAACATTTTTATGATAGAAAAAGGATTGTGTGTGTTTTTAATTTTTAATACTAGTAGTTGCCCATAGAAGGTAAAATGGTAAGATTGTCCTTGAGCCCTACAGACAGCGATGAAAATATATGTTGGACCGTATAAGTTGGACCACTTCATTTATCATTACATTATCTACTTGATGCAAGCCAGTCTCCTCTTGGTGTTGTGGATTTGCCAAGCTTATTTCCAATCTTGTCCCCTTACTAATGTTAGTCCCTTATATGGAATTTCTACTGTTCTCTTTTCTGTAAATCTGATCTCTCTTGTTCTACACATCCTTTAAGGCCAAGCTTAAGATTAATGAAGACTTTACATTCTAGCCTACCATCTCTTAATGCTTATTTATAGTGATTTAAAGTACAGTCAGCCTTTCATATCCATGGGTTCTGCATCCTCAGATTCAATCGTGGATCAAAAATATTCGGAAAAAAAATCTCTAGAAAGTTCCAAAAAGCAAAACTCGAATTTGTCAAGCCACATCGACAACTATTTACACAGCATTTATTTTATGTTTACAACTATTTACATAGCATTTACATTGCATTGAGTATTGTAAGTAATCTAGAGATGATTTAAAGTATACAGGAGCATGTGCCTGGTTCTATGCAAATTCAGCGCTATTTTATATAAGGGACCTGAGCATCCATCCTTGGATTTTGGTATCCACTGGGGTCCTGTAACCAATCCCCCCACAAATACAGAGAGACTACTGTACTATCTAATGCAGGAATAGCAAGTTCATTTCATGTTGCTTACACATCTAGTTACTTAGTAATGGCTTATGTTGTGTATAAGCTTCAAGTCAGGGCTTAACTGAAAAGAATGCAGAGCAAACTAGTGATATCACCTCTTGGCCTAGAAAGGGTTAAAGGTTATAGGTATGCTGTATATTTGCAATTCTTCTCTCATGTGTTAAGCTTTGCATTGATTACCATATTCCAAAATCAACTAATTGTAGAAAAAGAAAATACACAAATAATTTAAATCTTGAAATTAAATAAAATTACGTTACAAAATTAACCTGCTACAATCCAAATTTTTCTTCAAATGAGAAGGCAAGATGTTAAAGATGGTCAGCTATATTGAATTTTCTTGGTGAGTTAGGCATGCTACAAGCTTTTTATAGTTATTTCATTTTGCTTCTGATGGGTAAAGCTTAATAAAATTTATGATAAGGATTCAACAACTTAATGCTAATGTTATTTTCATGTTGATTAAAATTCTAGTTTTGTCTCTGTTAGTATACCCTTCTATATTAGCTTTTCATACCTCACAGAAATTAACACAGTGCTGGGCATATTTGCAAAATTATGCATCCAGGTTATTCGGAAGACTAACCTCTCTTGTTTCTCCCTTTTCCCTGTTATTCAATTTCTAAATGAAATTAGTATTCTGCCACACTAACAATAAATAATTTAAAGTATATATTCAAATAGATTAGATGGGCTGAGAGTAATATGAAATTTAGCAATTATATTCATAGAAGGAGTAATAAAGTATTAATAATCAATATTGTAAATATGACTTGGTTTTTAAGGGTAAAGGAAGAAAATCAACTTCCCTGGGTGAAGCCCAACCCACTAAGAATTTGGTAAGAGTGATTGTATAGTTTTCTTATCAGCTTTTTACTCAACTTAATTCCTTAATATTTCTCTTTGAATTGTTTCCTTTTACATGCTTGATTTTGAAACTATTCATTATAATGTTGGTAAAAGGAGAAGGGAGGTATCCCTTAGAAATTGGATCCCTTTAAACTGAATTTTTAAAAACGACTATTTTAAAATTAAAGAAGCTAAGGAAAATGTCAGAGCATTGATTTTTTTAAAAGAAACAAAATTAAAACCTCAGTAGGTAATAGCAAAGGACATGAACAACATAGGAGAAAATAAACTAGACAAGAAGATACAATGAAAAAAAGCTACTCTAGAAAAGAAATACATACTAAAAATGAGTATGTATTTTATACTTATTTTATTAGTATAGACTGTATAGTATATACTGTATATGTATAATAGTATTTGAATATTCTATATTTATATATATTTACACACATTCTATTAGATTATTACAAAAAATTATATAACAATGTAGAATGAATGAAAAAGTCAGAATATTTAATTAAATATTGAATGAAAAAGTCAGAATATTTAATTAAATCTGATTATACATTACAATGATATAAATATTAACTAGGATGAGACATAGAAAAATGAACACACCTGGTTCATGAGAGTGATAGATTCCTTTTTCACACTTCCATTATTATGTTATTTGACCACTATATATATATATATATATATATATATATATATATATATATATATATACGGAAATTCCTTATTCCTCTTAGAGGAGCAAGATGAGTCTGCACGCCCTGGGACTCAGGAAACCCTAGGAATTCCACCTGAAGTGGAATAGTTGAAATGAATAACTGAGCAATATAAATAAATACACTGAGGGCCTCTGGCTAAGGGAATTTAGAAAGAAAGTTTAGAGAAAGGAGATAACATCTGTGTTCCCAGGATTACAGAGGCAAAATCATGGTTCTTTGTTTTCTTGTCTTTTTAATGAATGTTCAGTCTTGATATTTGAGAAAAGTCATGAAATATTCACATCTATGTATTTCAAACCTGCTTAGTCACATAAACTTCAATTTGTACTTTTTAAAGATGTCCTGGGACCTTCATTAAACAGAAGAATATGAGAAATTCTCCTTCATATTTATCTTTGAAATCTGTCCTCTAATCTTTTAAACGCATTATTTAAAGGGTATGTGTTACTGTTACTAAATATACAGCTAAAAGAGATCTCAATGTGACTAAACTAAAAATAGGACAAACAAGCTCGAGACCCAATCATTATATTTACTTGATATGTGACCATGGCGGCGTAATTATCCTCTTTACATCTCAGTTTCCTCAAATGTGAAAGGTGAAATCATCAATTTCATAATTATTAAGTAGATAAAATGAAATAATGTATGTATAGCACTGAGCACAATACCTGACCTAGAAAACACCCAATAATTGGTTGTTATCTAAATGAAGAAATTACTCAACCCTGTACTAATCCACTTCCCAGAGACTCACGGAAATATAACTGAGTATATGCACAGCTATTCTCTTATATGTCTTTTCCATGTGAGGTATCTCTTTCTCCACTTTCTGTAGGTTGTACAGGTAGCCCTTATTAAGATTTTTGTCAGGGACTGAAAACTAGCTTATGAGGCAGGCATGTTCCATACTCTAGGGAAGACTAGGGAACAAGCTTTATCAGGTATGTCCTTATTAATCATCTTTGACAAAATAAACTGAATATTTTCAGTATTAATTATCCCTTCCATAAAAACATTTTTTTCCATTGTAAAAAACTCAATTGAATAATGTACAAATCTTTCTCACAAAAGTTTAAATAGCACTCTTTATGTCCACTGTTGCAGTGGTGAAAATGACATCCACCTAACATAGCTCTTTAATTAATCCTAAATCTTAAACTGCAACAACCCTGACTTTCCTACACATCAATGATCACAGTTATAGTTAGAAACCATAGTTTTAAAAAATATCATTCAAGATTCTTTTTAATTAAACCAAATTTTTAGTATAAGCTAGCATAATGGATATTAAAGATTAAATATTTTAAAATGTGTATTTTTATAAAAATGTGAACTTAAAACCTTTTTTTTATATATTTCTCTAGGAAGAGAATAAGTCTTTAAAGGAACAGAAAAAACAGAATGACTTGTGTTTCCTAAAGATACTACTACAAAAGATAAAAACTTGTTGGAATAAAATTTTGAGGGGCGCTAAAGAACATTGAAAAATACAGAGTGGCAATATAAAAACTTAAGAGCTTTATTTGTATCCTCCAAGAATCTATCTGCTTATGCAATTTTCCAGGGTAAAATGCCTTCTGGAAGTTACTGAATGCATCCTGGTAAAAATGGATTACGGCAATTGAGCAATCCTTACTGTAGTACTAGAAGATGGACATAAACAGTGGAAACCAAACGCTGCAATCAACAAACTATTTCACATGCATGAGGACATATATCAATCAGTATTAATTCTGAACTGATTTTTGTAAGACAATCTATGTAAGATATTAGTTGCAATAATACTTTTTAAACCTGTTTAAAATTTTCAGAAGACATATAAATTCTGTGAAATGTATAAAGTTTACAAGGATTAAAAATTAACATTTCATTATTACCAAAATAATTTTATGGCCCACTATGCATCAGCATACTGCAATGACAGTGGAAATTGTCATCTGTGCTGGAAATGTTTCAGAGTTACAGTGAGATATGGATAAGGCCCATGAGAACAAGAGTCATACAGCTTAAAGAAGCAGCAGCATAAAGGAATCCAAGATAATTGAGAGATGTAATTAAACATGAATGTATTACACAGTGCCTTTAATAAATGATATAACAGATGTTTTAAAATGAAGATAAAGAATAATTTCACAAAATAGAAAGTCATCTGTTCTAAGGATGCTAAACCATAGTACTGAGTTACTTTTGTCATTTATGTGTAATAAAATTTGTCTAAATGAGTTTGCAATTTCGGAGCTATATTTTTAAGAGAATAATATATGTTGGGCTTTTAATTAATGGAATGTATATATTTAATTTTGACACTCTATTTGTATATAAAAATATTTTCATACAGTATTACAATTGCTTACTTTGGATAACATTTCTCCTTTGATAATAAATGACCTATGTATTAACACTGTCAGATTCACTTAATGAATCCCAATAGGAGTTTTGTTTGTTTGTTTTTTGGCTGTACCATGCGGCTTGCAGGATCTTAGGTCCCCAAGTAGGGATCGAACCTGGGCCCCCTGCAGTGGAAGTGCAGAATCCTAACCACTGGACCGCCCAGGAATTCCCCCAACAGAATATTTTAAGATCAAGATTTTTAATACTGCACCACTATTTGATTTCTCACTTTCACTGAAATATAACCTTTATTCTCTTATTATTGAGAATGTACATGAGACCTGGACCGCCAAACTATACAAGAACAGGAACACTGCTTTACTTCCTATGTTAAATTTTAGTCTTTTTAAAGAAACTTTTGTATATGCCAGATGCAGCTTAGAAAGGTTTGCCAACAGTCTTCACTTACTTATAAAGGGAACTGAAAACACTATTCTAGGCAAGCCAAGAGTTCTAAAACAGCCACCACGGCCTCATCACCACCTGGTTAAGAGCTGACTGGCTTTATTTGATCTACTGATGATGCTCAGGTGCCATCCTCAATGTGTGGAGGTAAGACCTTCCTCTCAGTTTGTGTCTGTCTCTCTGCATCTCTTTCTCACTCTCCCCAACCTATATGGAGTTTCTTCCTCACTGGTGCAGGTAGCTGTACAGAATTGTACAGACTGTCGTATAGAATTCACTGATTACCCCATTAATGAGGTGTTGACCCAACTATGTTTTCTATTTGTTTTTCATTATTAACTCCAGAAAAGGGAGTTTACTACCACTTTGTAGGAGCAAATGATTCTTCAGCAAGCTTTTTCTTCAGATGCACTTTTCAAAGTAGGCTATTCTTCTTTACACCACTAAACAAGTCAACTATGTGGTACATTTCCACCCTGATGAACTGGTGTTACTGGTAAACCATCAGCTATGAAATGGTGAAATTTTACATTTCTAAAGGGAAACTTAAAACTGTTCTTTAAGATGTTTCCCTGAAGACTGTCTATAACGTTCCCAACAGTGTTGAAAAAATTCTGCGATTGTGGCAAAATAAGGAACAATATTTTAAAATGCTTTATTATAAGTTATTAAAATTTTCTTCCATTTTATTTTGACCTTGATTTTTATCATTTGTTTATGATAGAATTGAATTTTACAGAAAATTCACACTCAAAAATTTTTATTCAGCATGGTGTGTCAAATGCTTGGAAAAAACAGCCAGGCTTTTATGGTTATATTTCCCTTCTATGTTTCCTAGCTACTAGCAAGGTAAGTAAAGACAAGGCAGGCTGGTTAAAAATGATCTTGGATAATGTATTTTTTTTATTATTTCTATCCCCCAGTTAGACTTGTTTTATCTCAATGAACATTTTCTTTCAAATATGTATGTGGATGCTTTCAATCAGCATTTTCTAAAGTTTGTCTCAAGAAACCCTAAAACTTACTGATTATTAAAAATAATGATAATAATAATAATTAAAACCCCAGAGAATTCTGAGCTCTGAGGTTAGATAATTTTCTCTTGGAGACTCATAATTCATGTAAGTAATTTAAAACTCTGTAAACTCATAAAGCTTTTTTTAAAAAAGTTTAACACTAACATAGCATTTCCAAAATTTGACTACAGAACACTTTTATGTAAAAACCATTAACCTATCACACTTTGAGGAATATTGCTTTATACAAAGGAACTCTGTTAGAAGTCTTTTAAAATAAGCTTTAAAGGGATCTGCTGAAGGAAGTACTCCTTTCAGGATTAAGATAGTTCTATTACAATTAGAAGTGTTTCTTTTCTTTAAGCCATTCTTTCATTGATAGGCAGTTTAAGAAGGACATCTCATCAAATCTACTGTAAATATTTCTCCAGAAACACACATTTCTACTCTATGGTTTGTATAGTACTCTGTCAATGCAATCTTCATATCTTTAGTCATTATGTTCTTACTGCTTAGAAAGTTCTTCCAAATTCTATTCAGATCCTGCTCAAACTTCTAGGGGCATCTTAATTCCTTTCTTCTCAATTGCTGTGACTTCCATGATAGGTGTAGATAAGGGATAAACTTGTTTTATTATGCTTCGATTTATTGCGCTTCACAGATACTGGATTTTTTACAAATTGAAAATTTGTGGCAATCCTGTGTCAAACAAGTTTATCTGTACCATTTTTTGCAACAGCATTTGCTCACTTCACGTCTCTGGTTACATTTTGGTGAATCTCGCAATATTTCAAACTTTTTTATTATTATTATATGTTATGGTAATCTGTGATTTTTGATGCTACTCTTGCAAAAAGATTATGACTCACTGAAAGCTCAGGTGATGCTTAGCATTTTTTAACAATAAAGTATTTAATTAAGGTATGTACATTGCTTTTTTTTTTTTTTTTTTTAGACACAATGCTATCACACACTTTTTAGACTACAGGATAGTGTAAACATTTTTACATGCACTAGGAAACCAAAAACTTTCACGTGACTCGCTTTATTGCGGTGGTCTGGAACTGAACACGCAGTATCTCAAAAGTCTGCCTCTAATGCTAATGTTTCCTCCTTTAGTTGCCCATAGAACTTAATTGCCTGCATTGTGCATTATTATTTTATCATGTTCCTCTTACTACTGTATCTTAAATACAATTATTATTAATTTTTCTATTCACAGTTGTTTAAAATGTTTTCTCTCCCCTGAAAGAATGTATGACCTTTTGTTTCCTTCAGCACCTAATGGATAAAGCCACACATATGGTAGTTAATAAAGATGAATTGTAAATTAATTAATAAAACCTATTTAAATAATCCAGAAAATACATTTCTATAATATAGATTACTTAAAGATAGATAGGGCCCTAAAACATAACTAATTTAAATGAACATGACCCCTCAACGTCATCTTCTCACAATCTCAATGGAACTTTCTTTGATTTCTAAATGCTATTAGTTGTGAAACATCTTTCAGTCTTGATTCTGACCTAATAGGAAATCTTAATAAGAGAAACAAAATAGGTAGATACATTGATAATTGCCAATTCCAACAGTTTTTAATGTCTAAATATCAAAATATATGTATTCATCTATATCCACAAAATTAGTATTTGAGAAAGATGCAAAAATGGTTATTCTCATTTAGGAATAAACTGGGGTTTGTTTTTCTACCTCTCCATACAAAATGGTAAGAAAGAAGTACATTTTTCTGTATAAGAAATTTTCTGTGTGGGGGACTGGTTAGTGTTCTTTAAGATACTATCCTAAAGGTGAATTAATTTTCTATCACATTTAAAATGAAGAAAATGTAGACAAGTGGCAATATTCACAATTTAAGTTTAGCTACTCTTGCATGCTGATTTATTCCTTTTCTTTCAAGGCTCATTCTAAGGGTCCCATCCTTTCTGAAGTCTTTTCACACCTTCCCAGGTGGGGTTGATGATTCCTTTGTTTGTGTCTCCACTGCTCAGCTCAGCAAATAAATCAATCACCAGATGCTACCATGTGGAAAGTGGACATGTGTTTGCCAATTTCCATCTTTGATGCTTATCACAAACTTGCTTATGTCTGAAATAATCTGGTTCTAACAGGAGCATTTTACTTAAAATTTTAATTAAACAGAAGAAAATCTAATAAATTGTCCTGGCAGTGGTCCAAATATTATCACAAATAAAAGGAGCTTAGTTTGCAGAGCATCCAATATGGTGAGATAAAAGCCTTCTAGTAGAACCAGAAAGATCTGACAGAAAACTACAAAACAACAGTTATTTACTCTGTCATCTCCTTGCCTCCTTCCCAACAGAAAGGAGGAAAGGGATTTATTTGTCTTTTGCTGTGAAAAATCTTAAGTGTGTAGACCAATACATCTTTCTGCTTAGGAAAGAGTTTCACTCAGGGGAAATTACTAGGGTTGGGACTATTATATTCAGAGCCAGTGGGTTTAAAGAAGCTCCAACTTTTAAACACTGACCACTTAACAGGAAGATGCAACACAAATAGATAATTCATTCACTCAACAAATACTTATTAAGCATCCATCTCTAATGTGATAGTCCTGATCCTATTGGTACAATAAAGTCTGTGCTTTCATGAAGCATATATTCTAGGAGAGGAAACAGTAAACAATAAATAAACAAAATTACTACAGAAAACAAGTTCTAATGGAAAAGAAAAAAGACTGGTGGAAAGAGGTGGTATTTTAGGTTAGATAATCAAAGAAGACCCCCTTTTAAGAGAAGACTTTTGAAAATATTTTCTTATTCTCAAAAATTTTAGCATTTAATACATGACTGGCAATATTTACACATTTAATAAATTTCATGGAAGGATTCAAGTCATTTTGCAACAGAAATCAAAACAGAATGCTTCAACTATAGTACATGATGCTGTCATAGAAATAAATTATGAAATTACCAAATGCTTGACTTTGAAGTAGTCTGCTATCCTAAAGTAGTGATACACAAGCTTTACTTTTTAGTTTGAAATAAATTCAGATGCAAAGAAGAGTTACAAAAAGAGTACATCATGTTCCCATATACCCTTTACCAAGTTTCCTCTAATGCTAATATCTTACAAAACCATAGTACATTTATCCAAACTAAAAAATTAGCATTATTTGTTGTGGGTATGGTTGTGCTGTACACTGTAGGATGTTTAGCAGCATCCCTGGTCTCTACTCACTCGACACCAATAGCATCCTTCTCCAAGTAGTGACAATCAAAAATGTCTCCAGCCATTGCTGAACTGTCCCAGAGAGACAGTTGAAACCACTGTCCTAAAAGTTTTAGAGACATATGTTTTACAGTTAGGTCTATGACTCATTTTGAGTTATTATTTTTTTATTGGAGTGTAGTTGCTTTACAATATTGTGTTAGTTTATACTGTACAGCAAGGTGAATCAGCTATATGTAGACATATATCCCCTCTTTTGGATCTCCTTATCATTTAAGTCACCGCAGAGCACGGAGTAGAGTTCCCTGTGCTCTATAGTAGGTTCTCATTAGTTATCTATTTTATACATAGTATCTATAGTATATATATATGCC